CATTTTGAGAGCAATTTGGAACTATGCCCAAAGGGCTATAAAAACATGCATACCCTTTGACCCAGCAATATCACCTCTAGGGCTATATCCCAAAGAGATCATACAAATGGGAAAAAGACCCAAATGTACAAAAATATTTATAGCAGCTCTTTCTGTGGTGGCAAAGAACTGGAAATTGAGAGGATCCCCATCAACTGGGGAATGGCTAAACAAGCTGTAGTATATGAATGTAATGGAATATTATTGTGCTATAAGAAATGATGAACAGGCTAACTTCAGAAAAACATGGAAAGTTGTATGGTCTTATGCTGAGGGAAGTAAGCAGAACCAGGAGAACACTGTACACAGGAATAGCCATGTTGCGCAATGACTAATATTGATAGACTTATCTCTTCTCAGCAATACAAGGATCTAAGACATCTCCAAAGGCTTCATGATGGAAAATGCTAACCACATCCAAAGAAAGAACTATGGAGTCTGAATGCAGATCGAAGCACACTATTTGCTATTTTTTTTCTTCTGTTGGGTTTGGTTTCCTCTTTCTGGTGGTTCCTCCTATTAGTTCTAATTCTTCTTTACAACATGACTAATGTGAAAATATGTTTAATAGGAATGTATACGTATAGCTTACATCAGACTGCACACCATTTTGGGGAGGAAGTGGGGAGGGAGGGGAAGAAAAATTTAAAACTCAAAAGCTTATGGAAGTAATTGTTGATAATTCAAAATAAATTAATTTTAAAAACTAAATAAATAAAATAATTCTTAAAAAAAGAAATGTGCATTTTAAAAGAGGGGGTGGGGCTTTTTACAAATCACAAAAGAGCACTGAAGGTCTCCTTCTCTAGGAAGACACATTCTTACCATTCCAAAAGTTTCTGTTTGCATAAAACATTGACATTTTCAGGATATTGGGGACTCTGCCACCAGTATTCTGATGGCTTTGATGATACCATGCTATCACCCTAATGACCCTCCAATGGGCCCTAAAAAGCAGTGCCAAATCATTTTGCAGGCAGCAATCTGTTGCCACCAAAACATGAAATTGTAATATTTTATATTTATCTCTATTTAAATTTTAGCAACACTGAATAAATGTTAACAGGCTCTTATGCTAATGCAATCACAGAAAAGTCCTAATAACACTGTACTCGCATAGCCCCTTGGTGAGTAAGAGAGATCAAAAGGCCCTATCCAACTGCTTATGGCTCTGTGGGTTAAGCCCCCTTAAATCCACCATAAGAACAGGATGCTAGATATTTTTCTGTAAGAAATGTATCTCCACAAGCAGGAACTTCTATGCTGAAGCTTTGAAACTGATGGCCTATAATAAGGGGCTTGGACTTACTGAAAAGGTTCCCAAAGAAGACCTAGGAAGAGACTAATAATATTTGGCTTGGTCATATTTTAGTTAATGCAATGGGAGAAGAAATAATTGAATGAGTCCAGGACTTCAGAAAGTTTAATGACTTTTAAAAGCCCCAAGAATAAGACCTTCACTTACCAGAGGCTGAAGTGAGGCACTAAAAATTCCTTTAATCTCTCTCTCTCTCTCTTTTTCACACATACACACACTCACACTCACACTCATTTTCCTTTTGTTTCACCATAAGAAGTGATGATCCTGGGGTTAATGTGAGGTTAGAGTTCCTTCCTTTATTGTTAACTATAGCTACCTATAAGCTACACTTTACCAAGTAAACTACGAAAGAGGGAGTTACAAAGTGTACAATCCTGAAGTGTGTAGCTTCAGTTACCCTTGAGAAATCTATCAATACATTTCAGAAGTCCAGTTCTCAGTGGTCAGCCTGGGGATCAGTATTTGAGAGGGCTTCTTACAGCACTTCCTTCCCCATAACACTCCTACCCAGGATGTTCTAACATTGTTACCCCATCATTAATAAGAAGTATCAGACTTTTGGTAAGTTTTAATCAGAATCAAATTCTAATTAATCAGATTAAAGAAGAGAAATAAACACAAAGAAAATATTTTCCTATAAAATTCCCAACTGGTCAGATATCCAGAGCAGTTTCTCACCCAAAATGTTACTATTATGGCAGACAAGGGTACTCTGCTTCTGCAAAGGGCCAAAAGAAATTTATTCCTTGCAGATTTCACAGGTAGGAAGAATGTGGTCCTGAATAACCAACTGTGATATAAAGATAACCTGATCTCCCTCATGGGAGGAATAGTGGGATTGTCCCCCAATTCTCAACAATTCTTCCTGAGAAACTGCCTAGAAACCCACACCATGGCTTTTCTGCCCTTTGATAAAAATCAAGTCAGACTCTATGTACTTAATTTCTAAATGAGGGATATCACATTTGCTGGCTGCTACTGATTAAAGAAGGACAGATTCTATCTACATCCAGAGAAAGATCTATGGAGTCTGGATGCAGATGGAAGCACACTATTTGCTCTTCTTTTCCTTTGCTGTTTTGTTTTATTGCATCATTCCTGTGGTTCCTCCCATTAGTTCTAATTATTCTTTACATCATGACTAATGGGAAAATATGTTTAATATGAATGTATAAGTAGGGCCTATATCAGATTGCATGCCTTCTTTGGTGGGGGGGAGAAGAGAGGGAGAAAATTTAAAACAAAATCTTATGGAAATGAATGTTGAAAAATAAAAATAAATTCATTATTTAAAAAAAAAAAAAAGGACAGATCCTCCAACAGCCCTCCATGACCGGATGCTGATTATCTATCAAAAGTGAAATTTCTAGGAATTCATGCCCTTTTTCACCTCCTCATACTGCTACTGTAAATGCTTTACTCACTTTATGCCTTAGAAATGTGGTATAAAATATCAATTACATAAGATATGGGCTGGGAAATAGTCATGATGCAGAAGAAATATCAAAAAATTCACAGTCACTTGAGGTCAACACAATAGTTAAAGAGCAGTTGTTCTACTCTGAGGTACCATCTCACAACTATCAGATTGGCTAATATGACAAAACAGGAAAATGATAAATGTTGGAGAAGATGTGGGGAAATTGGAACACTAATGCATTGTTGGTGGAGTTGTGAACTGATCCAACCATTCTGGAAAGCAATTTGGAACTATGCCCAAAGAGCTATAAAACTGTGCACACCCTTTGATCCAGCAATGCCACTTCTAGATCTGTATCCCAAAGAGATCATAAAAAAAGAAAAATGACCTACATGTACAAAAATATTTATAGCAGCTTTTTTTTGTCGTGGCAAAGAATTGGAAATTGAGGAAATGCCCATCAAATAGGGAATGGCTAAACAAGTTCTGGTATATGAATGTAATGGAATACTACTGTGTTATAAGAAATGATGAGCAAGTGGACTTCAGAAAAACCTGGAAAGACTTACATGAACTGATGCAGAGTGAAGTGAGCAGAAGCAGCAGAGCATTGTACACAGTAACAGTAACACTGTACGATGAACAGCTATGACAGACTTAACTCTTCTCAGCAATACAATGATCCAAGACAATTCCAAAAGACTCATGATGCAAAAGAACTGCTGGGAGTCTGAATGCAGATCAAAGCATACTATTTTCACTTTCTCTGTTGTTGGGTTTTTTTTGTCTCTTTTCTTGTTTCTTCTTTCACAAAATGACTAAGGTGGAAATATATTTAATACGATTGCACACGTATAACCTATATCAGATTGCTTGCCATCTTGGGAAGGGGGGATGGGAGGGAGAGAGGGAGAAAAATTTGGAACTCAAAATCTTATAAAAAGTAAATGTTGAAAACTATCTTTACACGTAATTGGAAAAAAAATAAAATACTATTTACATTAAAAAGAGCAGTTGTTCTGAAAAAGATCTGGAGGCTAAAGAGAATTGAAAACTCAATGTGCGTCAGCTATGTGATGTAGCAGACCAATAGGTCAATGCAATATTGGGCTACATGAATAAAAGAATAAATCTCTCTGTGCTATGTCCTGGTCACAAGATACTCAAAGTCCTCGTGCTGTTCTGAAAGTACAAGAAGGACCCTGAAGAACTGTCCAGTGTCCAGGAAGGGAATGAATGGGGGAAAGGTATTGAGTACAAATCCTAGGAGGAACTGGGCATGCTGAACATGGAGAAGGAAGTTGAGGTTAGGGAGTCCAAAAAGATATGACAGATGTTGTCTTTGGGTATCTGAAGAGTTATTATATGCAAGAGGGATTAGATTGTTGTTTAGCCCTAGAGGGTATAACCAAATCTAATGGATGAAAATTATAAAGTCAAATTTAGGCCTGATGTCAGGGAAAACTTCCTATTAAGGACCTACTATGTACAAGATACATACTATATGCTGGGGAAAGAAGCAGAAAGAATGAAAAATGCCTACTTGCCAGAAGCTCATCTTTTAATGAAGATAAGAATATAAATGGGAGGTTAGGAAGCAGGGAAGAAAAGAGAGAAGGAGGAAGGAAGGATTTGTTAGCACTGTGTTAAGTGCTTTACAAATATCATCTTATTTGATCCTCACAACAACCCTAGGAGATAGGTATCCCCATTTTACAGTCAAGGAAACTAAGGCAGACAAAGGTGTGTCCAAGGTCACATAGCTAATTAAGTATATGAGGCTGGATTCGAACTCAGGTCTTCCTGACTCAACACTCAATGGTGTATCCACTGTGCTGCTTCTACAGTACATCAATATAAAGTTAATAAATACGAATCTATACAAGGTAGTTAAATATAAGGTCATTTGGGAGGCAGACACTAGCAGTGGGGGAATCAGGAAATACTTCCTGCAGAAGATGGTGCTTGAGCTGTCTTTTTCTCTTTTTGAGCCACATCTTAAAGGAAGAGAGGGAATCTATGGTCTGCGTGATTATGTAACAACAGAAGGAACAGTTCTTCATTACCTTTCTCACAGGAATACCCAAAACTGTAGTCTGAAATGTGCCAGTAAGAGGACTAGAGGACCTTCCCACAGATCTCTCCATCTCCCAGTGTGACAGAAATTTCAAAGATGTTATTTTCATCCTGACCATCCAAATGGCAGAACCCCTGGCTTACCTGGAGAAAGCAGCACCCAACACAAAAGCAGAATACTCCTTCACCAAGTTCTCAGTACTGTTGAGCCCACTGATCACCACCTGAAGACCTCCAAAGGAGAGCAGGTCCTGGGCATTATCCATCTGCAAATGAAGACAGTGTTTAATACGGGAATCTCAACTGCTCAAACGAGAACAATCCTTCTCACACCCATTTTCTTCTACATGACCAAAACTTAAAAATAGGGGACATGTAAATAAAAGGAAATGCAAACAATGACTTTTGGATTTACCAGAAAAGGGTATTTATGTAACACCATACAAGTAATGTGGGGAATTGATTTGAAATGAAAGCTATTTACTACCTAATGACAAATAAATTCTAAGGAACTTCAACAGTAAGATTAGGGTTCAAACTTTATTCCTCATATGAATGAATTCCTCACACGTATGCTATTAACACAGGAACTACACATTGACAGGAAAAAAACAACATGTCACCATGCTTCCTGCCTCTGCCTGGCTCTTCTGGTGCACTAGACAGCATATAACATAAAAGGAAGCACTGACTCTAAAATAAATGACTCGTGCTGGGCAAGGACCCTACTGGAGGAAAAAAAATGGAAGAGCTTGGCAGAATCCAGTAAAGGACAAAATGTTCATATCCTCTGAGATTTCATCAATAGGTTTATACTCCAAGGAATTCACTGATAAAGTCTCCATATACACCAAAATATTTATAACAGCACTTTCTGTGATAGCAAAGAATTGGAAACAAAGCACATGTCTATTGAATGGTCAATGGCTAAACAAATTATGGCATATGAATGTAATGGAATGTGTTGTAAGAATTTCTGTATGTGACAAATACAGAGAAGCATAGAAACACCTACATGAACTGATACAGAGTGAAGGATGAAGACCCAGGAAAACAATGAATCTGGAATACAAAAATGTAAATGGAAAGAACCACACACCCAAAACAAATCAAAAGTGACTGTAACCAGAGAAACATGGAGAGATCTACAGGAAGGGAACAAAGTCAAGAAAATAATATACACAGTATCTACAACAATATAAACAGAAGGAACAACTACACACCCCAAAATCAAAAGTGAATATAAAGAACCCACTCTTTGACAAAAACAGCTGGGAGGGGTGGGGGAGGGGCAAGTTGGGGTGAAAATTTGGAATTCAAAATCTTGTGGAAGTAAATGTTGAAAATTAAAAATAAATAAGTTTATTTAAAAAAAAACTGCTGGGAAAACTAGAAAAGAGTAGAATGGCAGAAACTAGGCATAGATCAAAATCTCACACCATAAAGTCAAAATGGGTTCATGATTTAGATATAAAGGCAGATACTGTAAGCAAACTGGGAGAGCAAGGAATAGTTTACCTGTCAGATTTATGGAGAACAGAAGAATTCGTGACCAAACAGGAGATAGAGAATATAACAAAATGCAAAATGGATAACTTTGATTACATTAAATTGAAAAGTTTTTGCACAAACAAAGCCAAAGCAACCAAGATTAGAAGGAAAGTAGAAAATTGGGAAAGAATTTTTACAACCAGTATCTCTGATAAGGGCCTCATTTCTAAAATATATAGAGAATTAAGTCAAATTTATAAGAATACAAGTCATTCCCCAATTGATAAATGGTCAAAGGATATGAGCAGGCAGTTCTCAGATGAAGAAATTAAAGCAATCTACAGTCATATAAAAAAATGCTCTAAATCACCATTGATTAGAGAAATGCAAATCAAAACAACTCTGAAGTACCACATCATATCTATCAGTCTGGCCAACATGACAAAACAGGAAAATGATAAATGTTGGAGAAGATGTGGGAAAACTGGAACACTAATGGGAGGGGTGGGGGAGGGGCAAGTTGGGGTGAAAATTTGGAATTCAAAATCTTGTGGAAGTAAATGTTGAAAATTAAAAATAAATAAATTTATTTTAAAAAAACTGCTGGGAAAACTAGAAAAGAGTAAAATGGCAGAAACTAGGCATAGATCTAAATCTCACACCATAAAGTCAAAATGGGTTCATGATTTAAATATAAAGGCAGATGCTGTAAGCAAACTGGGAGAGCAAGGAATAGTTTACCTGTCAGACTTATGGAGAACAGAAGAATTCATGACTAAACAGTAGACAGAGAACATAACGAAATGCAAAATGGGTAATTTTCCATAAAAATGCAAAATGCTGGTGGAGTTGTGAAATGATCCAACCATTTTGAGAGCAATTTGGAACTATGCCCAAAGGGCTATAAAAATGTGCATACCCTTTGACCCAGCAATATCACCTCTAGGGCTATATCCCAAAGAGATCATACAAATGGGAAAAGGACCCACATGTGCAAAAATATTTATAGCAGCTCTTTCTGTGGTGGCAAAGAACTGGAAACTGAGAGGATGCCCATCAATTGGGGAATGGCTGAACAAGTTGTGGTACATGAATGTAATGGAATATTATTGTGCTATAAGAAATGATGAGCAGGCAGACTTCAGAAAAACATGGAAAGACTTGTATGGTCTGATGCTGAGGGAAGTAAGCAGAACCAGGAGAACACTGTACACAGTAATAGCCACAATGTGCAATGACTAATATTGATAAACTTAACCCTTCCCAGCAATACAAGAATCTAAAACATCTCCACAGGCCTCGTGAAGGAAAATGCTATCCACATCCAAAGAAAGAACTATGGAGTCTGAATGCAGATCAAAGCATACTATTTGCTGTTTTTTTTTCTTTGGCTGACTTGTGTTTCCTCTTTCTGGTGATTCCTCCTATTGGTTCTAATTCATACTTACATCACTAATGTGAAAATATATTTAATAGAAATATATATGTATAGCCTATATCAGATTGTGTGCTGTCTTGGGGAGGGTGATGGGGAGAGAGGGGGAGAAAAATTTTAAACTCAAAAGCATATGGAAGTGATTATTGATAAATCAAAATAAATTAATTAAAGAAGTAATATAAAAAAAATAATAAAGCTCAAACAGGACCTGAATGATGAGATATGGTAAGATACCTCTAACACACCCTTTCACATAGGTGAGAAGTCCACAGGTGTCACACATTGTGCATGTTTTGGGGCTTTTTCCATGTATCAATCAGGTATGCTGAATTTTTTTTTCTCTCTAAAAAACACTACGTTATATGGGATGGCTCTCTGGGAGGGAAAAGGAGAGTGATCCTTAGGATAACCACAACAGAATCCATCAATAAAAACATATTTTTAAAAAGTAAATATAATAAAATTATAAAGATTAAACATGACTCAAATGAATAGATGTGAGAGAACACCCCCCACCCCCAATCCACCTCTTCATGGAGGCAGATCTATAAGTGTTACCTGCCACACATGTTTTCACACTTTTCCAATGAATAGAAAAGTTTGCTAATTTTTTTCTTTCCTTTCTTTTTTTCGAGGGGGGGGCAAGGTCTTTAAAAAATACTATTTGTTATAAGGGGTAGCTCTCTGGGATCTCAAGGGGGATAATTATGATGATGTAAAAAATAGAATATCAATAAAAATTTATGTATATTTAAAAAAAAAAAGAAAAAGGAGGCAGACAATCATTTTGTCTCCAGGAAAGAAATGCACACAATAACATGAGGCTAACTGACTCTATTAGTGTTCTTGGGAAGCACACAAAAATTAAATTCTAATGAAACAAACAAAAATTACTTCAATGAGGAAGAAAAGATAAACTATGTGAAGAAATCAATACCTGAGTGTACAAGTAATTTAATGACCAGCTAAGGTTTTTTTAAAATCTCAGAAGGAAACGAAGGTAAGAAGGGTGGCACACTGGATAGAGTACCAGGCCTGCAATCAGGAAGACTTATCTTCCGGATTTCAGATATGGCCTCAGACACTTACTAGCTGTGTGACCCTGGGCAAGTCACTTAACCCTGTTTGCCTCAGTTTTCTCATCTGTAAAATGAGCTAGAGAAGGAAATGGCAAACACACCAGTATCTTGGCCCAAAAAAAAAAAAAACAAAACTTAAATGGGGTCACGAAGAGTCAGGCACAACTGAAAATGACTAAACAAGAAGATGAAAACAGAGGAGTGCCACACACCTATAAGTAAATATCAACTAATGAGCATAACTGTAGCTCAGGGTAGATAGAGCTATAACAATGGACAGCGGAGGATAAAAACAAACTGCCACCTTATCTGGTTTCTTTTGTTCTCTGTCAAGGAGAAAGATCAGCCAGAGACAGGCAGGGAAAAAAAAAGAATTAACAGGGAGGTGAAGTTAAAAAAAAATGAGGAGGTGATAGATTCATCCTAGTTGCATTCAATGAGGTCAAATCATCAAACCTAGATAGAGCACAGGGTGGAGAATAGAGAAAGAACTGGCAGAGGTGACAGCTGAGCTAAGACTTCATGTGATTTTTTCACCCAGACTGACCTCGTTCCATTTTTTGAAAGAACTATTAGACTAGAGGAGTACAGATGCAGAAAGGTAGATTCCCAATTATATGAATTAATCAGAATTGAAGAAAAGTCATTGTTGGATCAATGTCTTCTTGGAGGGAGTTTTCTAATGATACATCCCAGGAACTGTCCTTAGCCTTTTGCTATTCAATACTTTTATCAATGATTTAAGAGTGAGAGTGGAGGATTACGGAAAATATTTTGGACTTATAGCCAGGAGAAACATTTACCGGTTGTTGAAGCTAGTTAACTAGAAAAAAAAGTTTATGCAAGTTCTTCTGATGAAAGGGCATAAACAGGCAATTTCCAAAGAAAAATCCATATTAAAAAAAAACACTCCTCCAAATTACTAATAATTAGAGAAATACAAACTGAAGCAACTCTGAAATTCCACTTCACACCCATCAGATTGGCAAAAATTACAATAAATTAAAATGACAAAGTTAGAGGGGGTGTAAGAAAAGTCACATTAATTTACTGTTGGTAGAGCTGTGAAATGGTATATTTCTTCTGGAAGCAATTTGGAAATATGTTCAAAAAGTTACTAAACTGCACAGCCTTAGACTCATTAATATCACTACTAGGCCTATACCTAAAAGAAATCAAAGAAAAGAGAAAAAAAGACCAACATGTATAAAAGTATTTGTAGTAGTTCCTTCTATAGTGGCAAAGATCTGGAAACTCA